GAACTAGTAATTCAAGTATCTGACTTTTATATGCCTGCTATGATTATCTGTCACCTACAGTCTGACAACTGTGTACAAAATACTACACCCTGTCAGCACAGAAAAGCAATAAACTACTAAATTAATGCAACAGCATGTTAGTGTTGCTGCCTTCACCCAAGTAATACTTTAAGAAGTTACACTGATTATACAACTAGTTACTAAAAAGTCAGTAACTAAGTTTTCCTATTAGAATCCTCCGTATTAACTACCATAGTCTCAGTGCATACATATACACACACACACACAACTGTACTGGTAGCCTGACAAAACAAACTGAGTTTTCATTATTTAGTCTTTCACAGAATTTCAGGAAACTGACACTGCTCTGCATTATTCCAAAGTTATCAACTGATAACCAACAGCCCTCTTGAAATTATTCCTCTTATGTGGAATCCTTTCTTGTAACTCATTGTGTTTAAAGATTCTCTCACGGCAATACCTACTAGAAACACAGTAATATTCCCCCTGGTATGAAAAAACAGAAGTAATCAAATCTAGACCGGGCCCTACAAATAAAACAAAATGAAGCACTGCACCAAGACCAAGAAATGTTTAAGCATCCCGATGGTTCCAAGTGGTTACAAATGCCCTGATAGAGGTGTTTTCCTAAGACTAACCAGATGTTGTATAATATTCTGGAGAGCAGGAAAGTCAGAAAATAAATATACAAACTAAGAAAACAAACAAAAAACCACCCAAACAAACCACATGCACACAAAAAAAAACTTTGAGAGAAAATGTGACTTTACCAGAAACAGCCATAGTATCACTGATCCATGCAATGGAAAATATCCAGTCCTTATGCCCATCCTAGAAGACAAAAAAGACAGATTTTTCTGTGCCACTGTACTCTAGAGTAGCCTCAAAGCAGACAAGTATTCTTCACTTTGCTTTTCAGTATAAACTCAGAATGACAGACCTACATTAAAAACATACAGGTAAGAAAGATTCCACTATCAAGCTGAAGCAGCTTTAGTACATAACAGTAATTTTCACTTTTTTTGGTATTGAAGTGTATAATTAATGGAGAGCAATCAGGTATTGGAAAAACAGGTCTCTGACCAAGGACAAATTATCTCAATTCTAAAGACTCAGATTTTCCATTCTGAAAGCAGCATTCTTCACTTCTGTGAAGTATCCACATACTTTCTTCTTCCCTCAAATGCACATCCTGCTATAAAAAGCAACCAAAGTCTTATGTTTACAATACATGACCTACAGATTAATATTTTCAAGACTATTATTTAAAGAATCTTTTCTTTAGCAGATGAGAAACCTGTGGGGAGGAGGAAAAAAAAAGACCATAAGGCTCTAGTTCCATTTGAAAAACTAAGAAGTCACACAAATGAAGAGCAAGTCATGCAAATCTTCAGAGCCAAGCCCTGCTGCAGCTGGTTATCAGCTACTGCAGAAACTCGGACCTGACCTCTACTGCTGTAGCTAACATCTATGTTAACTCGTGAACAGAAAGGAGAAAAGAGAGAGCAGTGCTCACAGGACACCACTCTGCTCATTTCAGCTTTTGTTTAAAGAACAGCTATTTTAAAAAGGGCTCAGGACGTTTCAGAAATAAAACCAGCACTAGAATCTTTCAAGCTGCCACAAGCCACTTGGTTAGAACTAATCTTCAAAGCCAATTTCCACCACTGGAATAATACATCCATAAGCTGCATTGGATAAAGGGAAAATTTTAACAATTTGTATCATCTTTCCAGTTTCTCAAAAGAACTTTTTCACTGTAACTGTTTTCAGAGGTCATCACCACAATTAGACTTGAACATTTTGATACATCTTCAGTGCTTGAAAGTAATCTGAAGTAGACCTGAAAGAGGGTGGGAAGAAATTTGACTCAGAATCCTGAGAATCCGCTCACATGTTTATGTACTCGCTTATATTTAAGGTACCATGTCAAAAATTACAACTTAATCAGGAATGTTTTCAAGCTTCCAGAAATTCACTCTCCAAGAGCCACAAAAGTCTTAACCTTGCTCTGACCTTACACACTTCATAGTAATTCTTGTAAGTGACAATCAGCTTTCCCCAAATGCTCCCACTTACATCTCCCACACAGACAGGATCGAGTGTAGGCAGACGATAAATTGCAAGACTGTTAGGGTTGTCTCCACCTGTCGCCAGGAGGGTCCTCGAGGGGTTGAGCTCAATGGCATGGATACCACATCCCTGCTGGTTCACCATGCCAGGTTCACGATCCTTCAGGATAGGAATCTTGGTAATTTGACCAGTCTGGACGTCTACTACAAATAACTGTGGAAAAAAACAAAACAAGGAGGTGTAAGTCATCATCAAACAAGTAAGAAAAACAAGATGGTCAAATACCCTCCCTATTTTGAACGAACATTCTTTTCAAGTTGAAATCCACAAGTGCTTCAAGTATGGCTGAAAAACGCATAAATTCCTTCCTAAACTAAGTAAGCTAACAATTGTAGTGGAATTTATTTCAATCATCCAATTTGGCTTTCACAGCAATGGAAGAGAGAGGGGAGAAATCTGTCATGGGAAGCTTCCCATTTAAAAAAACTCCTTTGAATATAGAACTCCTTTCACTGCTCAAAAAACGGTATTTTCTCGCAGTGTCTCTGTACCAGTGAGAAAGAGACACACCTCAACAGAGCCAGTAAGCCTCATGGGGCTTAGCTCAACTCTCCTGACTCCCAGATAAGACACCATGAAGGTTTGGCTTTGTCAAACTGACACTTTATAAATCTATGCAATTGGAGTTTATTTTCTGGTGGTACACAAAGAATAGTAACTAAATATAGTAACTAAATACAGTGCCAACGTCTAAAAAGAGATCTCTAGCTACATACATCATCCTAGGCAAAAAAAAAAAAGAAATTAGAGCAGTATTTCACTGGCCTCTCAGCATAAAACTCTTACAAAGCCTCATAACTCTTCAAACAGAGATTATACCCAGAGTTATGTCAGTTCAAACATAGACAACCACGGGGTTACAGTTTAAACCAGAATAAAGGTTTACACTGCGTGCCAAAGTGCACTTTCATTTGGGAGGCTCCTGGGCTGGGTCATTTCCCAGATGATGTTCAGAGGGCAGCTGCACTGACACTCAAATAGGTCCAACAGAGAAGACAAAGCCCTGTGAGGGAACATGACTGCAGCAAGGAAATGGAGGATCTGAAGCTGACTTGGCACTAAAGAAAAGTGAGGTAGAAGCATAGCCCAGGATTATAATTAAATTCCACATCACCTTAAGTCTGTTCCTTCCGTAACCAAAGAATCTTGTCTCAAAGTCTGCATAAGTGAATCAAAGATGATAACAACAACAAAAAACCTCAATGCAATTTAAAAAATACACAACCAAAGGAAATTTTCCTGAAATCCTTTGTCAGACATTTCTAGAAGGACAGAAGAGAAATCTAGGAGTTCTCAGAGAGAAGTTATACATACAAGCTGCTTTTGGTGAGTCTTCAGACTGTAGATCTGTTCTTTAGTAAGCATAAGCAAAAAAACCACTATGATAATTTAGTAGCATATCTATTATTTTTGACGTACTGAGCTAGCAGAATATTAATGTCAAATCAAAACATGACCGCATATCGTATGTTAAGAACATTCTACAGAGAAACCTGAAATCCATTCATCACAATTTGTGTGTTGTGTCTAGAATTATGCATCACCTTCAGCCTGTAGCTGATATTCTGCTGTAGGCAGCAGTCTTGCACAAACAGATGACTGCTCCTTACAGGAACTTGATTTTCACATTTACTTCTTTATTTTGTGTGCAGGTGTGGGGTATGGCAGCAGCTGAAGTGGAGCTGAGCAGGAGGAAGGCACACCTCTCCCAAGCCTCACAATGCAGTTCACTGCCCGAGCCAGCCGGTATAATCACGACGCACACTGCAGTCCTCTGCCCTAACCACAGCCCTGAAAATGAATACCTGCACTAAAGGAGCAGGACAAGTAATTCCACCTCCTCTCATTCTCCCTTGTCCTTCCCCTAATAGTGCATAATCCTCTTTTTCTCCTCAGTCTTTCTTTCCAGCAGAAATGCCCCATTGCCTCCCCTATCCTCCTTCAACTACTCGAAAAGACCCAAACCCCACAAAATCCACAGTAAAGTACTTAAGATTAAGGCTTGCAGATGTCATCTGCAGGTCCTACTGCTGACACCAGAAGTACTAATTAGAAAAACACATCCACACCCAAGGATGTTAATGAACTCAGAAAAATCTTGCTTCGGCTGTAAGACTCACACTTCGAAGAGCAGCTCAACTGGCATGGGGACCAAAATGAAAACCTCTTCATATTCTCTAGTGTGACACCTGTCAAACATCTGTGTTGGCTAAGAGAAGACTTTCTCTATTAGCTAAACTCTAAACTAATCGGGCTAAAGAAGTAAAAACTTATACAATGCTGAAGCATCAGATCCTCACATTTCTGCCCAGGATCTTCAACCTCAGTACAATTTTCCCACAGCAAGCTTCCAAATTAAGATGTTCTTAGAAGCAGCAACAGATGCTATTCCTTGCAGTGCTTTCATCTGCTCATACCCCGCTCTAATCCATCGTCAGCCCTTGAATTGCTTTGTCATTTCCTCACTTTTTCCTCCACTTGCACAGTATTACCATAAACAGAACAACAACTGTTCCTAAAGCAAGAAACTTTGCACAGTTAAGGGACCGGCATTGTCATTTCAGCTGTGCAGGTCTGAGCAGCAACTTCTCCCCTTGCTTGGTAAGGAATTTGGCACACTGTGGGTAGTCTAAAAACAACCAGCACCTCCCTAGAGTCAAATAAGCAAGAGCTGTCTGCATGTGCTGAGACTCTTGCATCACTTGGGGCAGGACAGGAAGTCAGCAGCTCACACTTGGAAGCATCACTCATTGCCAAGGAATCTTCCCAGTAAAACCAGCACAGAAAAGCCAAGAGAAGCCAAACAGTTGTTAGACACTTCCAAAGCCAAAAAGGGAAAAATGTTAGGAAAAAGAGAGGCACACAGTTAAGAGTGCAGAAAATTTGAATACCATTCCAAGAGTTTTAAAGACAGTAAAAAAAAAACAAGATATCTGACTGCTTTTAAACAAGTGCAGCCAAACCCACAGCACACAGCGACATAAATCTGGCCTACACTGGTACCTTTGCTACTCTTGAAAGAAGTACATCTGCAAATAACTCCAAAGCAGCCTGGACACCTAGAGTCTTGACAAAGTCCTAATAACTGAATCATATAGTAACTTTCTGTGTTACCTCAAGCAGGAATAAGCACACTTTCCACAGCTACTCATTATACAGGAACTAAAAAACAACCCCCAATTTTTTTCCTGGATGTAATAAACCCCCACCAAGCACTGGACTTAAAATGAGGAGACTATTTGTCTTCTCATTTTAAGCTTTGTACAAAATTTAGTTCTTCCTATTGGTAAGACATATCCCTGTCAGTCATTAGTCTGCCAAATAACACTCAGGCTTTACCACGTCAGGATTGCTTTGGACATCTGCCAGAAGTCCAAGGACCACACTTCACCTGTGACAAGACTAAGTTATCGTGTTCTCTGCTGGACCTTGTTCTAACAAGGAAACAAGCTGCATGATGTGACAGAGGGCAATCCACCTTCCCCACCTGTGGGAGACCGGAATCTTAAAGGTCAATGACTCAAACAATTGGCCATTTGCAGAAGCATCGGGGTGATTTGCTGATGCTAAGTTTGCGTTTGCACTCCCCAGCCGAAAGGAAGGAGTGTTTTTGGATGTGGTGAAACCTGTGATCCGTGTAAGAATCGCCCAGGTGCAGGGGGGATGCTCAGCCACCACCGGAAGATAACAGTATCAAACTGACCTTTGTTTGGCAACTAGCTGGTTTTTGACCAAGTCAAAGGCCGATAAGAAGCAGATCCTTCGAGGTGGGATAATGCTTTTTATCATGCCAGCTGTCTCAGGGGCAAAAGTTCCCACCGTGGGACATTCACACAGGCCTGTAGGTATTTATAGGTATTCATCCCATCTCATAAGACACAACTGACTGCACCTATGCTGGCATGAGAAACAGCTGTCATGTCTCAGAAGAGATCATAAACCACCAAAGACCTCCAAAGTACCCCCAGACTCATTGCTGGGGCTTTCTTACAGAGGCCTGTGGATGATCCACAGTGTTGCATCAGACAATGTAAAACTCCTGCCAGGAGAGGTACCTGGGTGTTCCCACCTGAACCTGAGCATATATTAACCCACTGGACTTCATGCTGTGGTGGGCTCCCTCCACCCCCAACAGATCAAAACTGCAACCATCACTTTAACCAAGGGACATCTAAATTGTAACAATCAGGTCTCCTAGCTGGATCGACGGAGTGGTGGTATCTTTCCACTCTCTACTCTTTAGTCTTACTCTTTTTCTTTCTGTCCTTTATGTATTTTCTTAAACATTATTTTCAACTTTCATATCGCCATATTTCCATAAATAATAAACCAGCTACATACATCTTTTCCATTGCAACCTAACCCTTCTAAAATAAACCTCCAACAGTGCTATCACGCCGGGATCAAGACAGACAGGCAGAGCCATGTACAATTGTTACAGCCATGAAAATTCATGATCTGGCGCTACTTTGCACACCTCCTGAGATTAATAGCTGTAATGCTTATTTTTCTTTCAGCTTGCCGAAGCGGTGAGAAGTCATTTTGGCAAATGGCTCCCCTACAATTACTACGTGGCTGTCCTCTTTTCAACCTGCTTACGATCAAGTTAATCAAGAAACTGTCCCACTTCACTGACTAAGGAAGTTCATTAATTAACTTCCCAAAAGTAAAGACTGGGGCAAGGGAACTGAGTATCTGAAGACCAGAGCCTGAACTGCAAAATCCATTCTTCTCTAGTATGCAATACTGAAAGCAGAATGCTTTGCCAGGCTTTTCCACCAAGTCTTTTGACCATTTTTTGACCTGCCTGTCGGGAACTATAATTTAGGGAGGAAAAAAAAGTCCCAGAAAGCCAACAAGTCACTAAATACTCTGACCATGTATCTTCAAGTAAAAGCATTGATGCTATACAGCAAGATTAAAAGAGGCCTAATGAAATGCCATTTCAAGGCAGCACAGAGACTCTTGTAAGACTTCTGCTGCTGCCCCTGCACAAAGAACAGCACATGAACAGGCAGCTCTATCCCATCTTTTAGTTGATTGTACAAATCAATCAGAACAAGAATAAAGGGTGCCACCCTGTTTTTATTACACAAGCAGGGTGGATGGAGATTTACAAGGCACAAAGAACACTCATGAAGAAGCCAGAAGTG